AACTACGCCTAATTTCATCAGATTTCATTTTCCATCACCGAAGACCGCCTGTTGGATGGGAAAAGTCAGGTTAGTGAGTTTTTTGTGCGTCAAGTAAAAAACATTTGCGTCCATATATTTTGTCGGTAGTTTTATAGCGCATGTCTCAGAGAAATTGCTCATTACCTTTTTTGTTCTGTTCTTGTTTGTCATGTTTGCGAAATAAAACTTATAGCCTGTAGTATATTTGACTCTAAACTCGAGTTTCAAAAACGGTGCTTTTTCGTGCTAAATCGTTTTATCTAAATTCAGTTCCTCAAAAACTGAAAAGACTCGATTTACATTATCTTATGATAGTTATCAGTCGACCTCCACAACAAAATAACCTGCTAGTGTTTTTTCTTTGCTGGGTTCTCTCTGCAAATCAAATTAGTAGCACTATTGTAAAAAAAGAAATTTCTATCACACTTTCAAAATAAAAATCTGACGATGGCGTATGCTGATGGCGAAAAAATGATTCACCCTTAGTCATCATTTGCACGTCATTTGTTCAAACACTGCGACAGAAACTTCAGACATGAAAGCCATTTTTAAATTGAAATCCCTTGATTCATTATAGCGATTTACTGGATTAGAAGCTATGAATTGTTTTTATGTGTACCATTTCAAATCTCACACAGAAAATAGGAGACCTAGTGAAAAAAGTGAAAATCATAATCGATATTCGTTTAAGATAAATTCATAGTATTTCCCATCTACTTTCCGGTACAACTTATATGCATCTTTATCCATTAGAATGACAGGTTCCTTGCTTTCGTATTCATTATCACCAAGCTTATAAGAAAGTAGGTTGACAAGATCTCAGCGACAGGTGCATAATTGTAGACCTATGACTATGGCGCTGATGATAAGTATATTTACTTAGAGAACGACATGCTCTTAAGTTCTTAAAGGGATCCTCATCCTAGCTGAATGAAAAAAATATTGATAAACAGCAAAGGTTAGAACAAAACACCAGTATCACCCTGATCATAATCTTGAAATGAGCATCGGAGGCTATAAAAGAGGGATATACCGTGAAATCACTTTGGATTTCTTTCTTCCATGATGCAAAAGAACTGTAAATGAAGATAGTTTCCTTATCGGTTTTAATGCATTCAATGGCTGCATATCTGTGTTATTTTCACCAGGAAACGTTTTTCAAAACATATATTAATTATCATCTTATTTGCCTCTTGGTGAAATTGTTATCAGATTTACTCATTATAAAAGAATTTTCAAATTAAAATAGAATAAAACCTTTAGGGGCTCAACTAGGCTCTCTGAGGCGATCTCAGAATTAAAACCTTCGCTTTCGCTTCCTAAAGCATATTATCTGTGGAGTCTAAACAGATTGGCAGCAGACATCCGCCGAGTGTTTGTTTATCATTTATGCAATTTTCATGATAACCAAAGCGAGCTTAGTTATTTTACTTTTTAATTCGGAACTTTAAACAAAGTGACGTTAAGAGATCCAATATTCACACTGCGAGCTGAAACATCCGTTTGCACCATTACAATGAATCGTTCTTTCAGGAATGCTTAATTGCTGGCTCGTAGGATAATGGCTATAATATAAAAGTGAATATTACAACATGGAAAAAAACAAGCGACCTTAATTATTATTCAGGTGCACCCAATATTATTCGCCAAGTTTTCAAAGTAATCTAAATTAAAAGGTGAGCTCCAATAATTTAAAAGGAAAAAAAAAAGAAATTGTTAAGAGTGAACGCTAGAAACCGAGATGCAGGTACTTCATCGTTAAGCGATCAAGCCATCTCTTCTTTTAACTCTCTATAAGGTTAACTAGGATAAATGTTTGTGTTTTGTAGATCGGATAGCTTCTATAGGTTTTTTTCTTTTTTAATTAAATGTGCGACCTCAAATAATGACAAAAACTGTTTTATCAAATTGTGAACCTTTTGGCCACTCTCGAGTTATCGCCTGATTAACTAGCACGTTGGTATCAGTTAATGCAGAGCAAACAAACGAATTGCAGTCACGACAACTAATTCAGGTAAGTTCAGCCTTATAGGTGTTGAAAAAAGGATCTGTTCAAATAACATAGATTGCTGGAGTAATTTTGTTTGAAATTGATTCTCTGGTCTTTTTTGTAGCAAACTTCGGTCTAATTTACATTTCGCAACCCGTCAACCATGTCACAACAATGAAAGTTTTCGATTGTTTTTTATTGTAAAACGCACCGATACATAACAAAGTTTAGTATTATTCTTGTGATTTGGTGCCGGCATCGATATTTGAAGGCAAACAGTATAAATTAAGCTGATTTTTGATATGATAATCAGTTCGCATTATTTTCTTTACTTAATTCCCGGATACACTTCTTCTGAAGACATCATCAGAAATTGGCGTCAATCACTTCTACCTGTAAGTATCGCTTAAAATAGATAAGGGAAACGATCGAGTGAACGTTGTTCTGGCTAGTCTTTTGAGAAGGCCGTCGGACACTCTTTTCATTCTGATCAATGATTGTTTAAATGCAAAGAAGCGAAAATAAAGACTTGTACATCCTCATCATTGCAGAGTAGACTGCACAAGTTTCAATTCACGATAGCGATTAAGCGTTATTTGTCATCACAGAAATATAGAAATAATTCTCTACAAAACGTCTTTTTTGATTTTCAGACCTACAAGGCCAAGGGTTACTAACCCCTCTTCACACCTGCCGTTCTTAGAAACTTTTTAACCGACAAGTTTTCTGAGAAAGGCATCCCAGGCGTTCGTCCTTTTTGACGAAATTAGAACAAGAAGTGTCCAAAAAGCATCCGAATTTTCACGGTTTGTATTACACCACATTGCAATGATTTTTTTGGCAAATTCGATTCTCTTTAAAAATTCACGATGGCGTTTATTTCAGGTGATGTCAGATTTTAGCAGCATTCAGAATTTACCTATTTCAACAAGCAGAAACTGTCAAAGACTACTCATTTTTATAAAAATGTTGTCAACAAGTTGAAAAAAGCGAAGGCCTAAGGATATGATAATTACCATTTCCCTCCGTGCACAAGTGGAATGCGCCTTAATTGTTCGGTAACGACACTATGCAGTCTGCCTGAAACAGCGATTTCCCACGACGATTTTCCCATGTCTTAATATTCAATGGTAAACGGTTTTGAAAAAGAATAATAGCATATTCTACAATGGTCATCTGAACATCAGAATCACTGATACTTTTTTGCATCATTATTAATTTTAATCTTTGGCAACGTCTGAGAGTACAAAAATGCTATCATTTCATGTCCTATCATGATAGTTGGTCTTGAATACTATCGACAGAAGACTTATACCTTACACGAAATTTGTTACCAAATGAAGAAAATTAAAGAGGGAAAAGATTTTCAATCGCAACTAAAATAAGTAAGCGCCAGGTCAGGACAGTCTAGGGAGACCTATTATCATTATTCTTTGACAACGTCTGAGAGTACAAAAAAAGCTATCATTTCATATCCTATCCTGGTAGTTGGTTTTGAATACTATCAAGATAAGACTTAAATTTTACATGGAATTAGTTACTAAATGAAGGAAATAAAGAAGTGACAAGAATTTCAAACAAATCTAAAGTTTGTTAATGTATGGCGCCGGCTAAGGAGTCTACCCCTTTACCAAGGGCTGGACTGTCCGTCGGGAAACCTAATCGGCTATCACTTGACAATATAACTCGGTTACTTCCAGGCTGTTTTTTTTTTTCTTAATTTGAACAACCTGCTTCCAATTTGCATGAAAATGACTTTTAAAACAAATTGTGCCTATGGGGCGTCAAAGTGAAATTGAGAGTGATGTTTCAATTAGCTGCTACCGTTTTTGATCAGTGCTTCTATGAAGCTTGATGCTGAATTTATCACTTGATTAAAGCTGTTCGGCCTCAGGAAAACAATTACAACGCATGAAAGGAGTAACTGTCGACCACAAACAAACAGTTCAGGTCGGTGAATCTTAACTATTTGATTTGAGACTTTTCCAATTTAAATCGTTTTCGAAGTTGCACGACATGATATTCTGATAAAACTTGATCATTCCTTAAAACACTGGCATAAGCATTACTCACAAACTTCCTTTCTTTTTGCAATACACAAATGGAGTTTTCTCTAGCATAAAGTATTTCTGGGTCTGCTCCCAACAAAATATAAATGTCGACGTAAATTTTCAATAAATTTGGAGACCT